GGCACGTCAGCACTAACCAGGCTATATTGCGCCAAACATATATGGTGAACGAGTTTTACAACGTCTAGACGTTGCTACACTTTTTTGCAATTCCCAAACATATAGCTATGTTATCTCCCTTTATCGCTAACAAGTGAACAGTAGCGTCAAATCAGAGGTTGTGACACAAATACACTCAAATCAAAAATGCCGACCTCCACGGAAACCTTGACATTGAACGAACCTTGAATTTTGCAACTTGATTATCACAGTTAGACATTTTAGCTGGAAAGCACGAGAATTGAGGAATCTCTGATAGACTCCCCAGCTGTGTCAGTAGCCAATCGAAAATAGTGCCGAAATATGCTTTGGTATTACGTGAAGGCCTTGATAAGATGTACTGAGTTAAAGTGAAATGAAACCTTCTATTGAAGATGGTAATAATGATGATAGATAACGCCTGGTATAAGTAATGGCAGACAAATAGGGGTTTAATGTCTCCTTAACACAATACTTCTCTCATTTTCAGACAAACATGTTCAGGGTTTTTTCTATTGCTCCAAGTGAAACGTGAGATAGGAAACCTTTGCTCGGATAGTGGTGTTTTTCTGCCTACCCGCCTTTGATTTCCAACTGTGTACCCCGCATCCACACAAACAGACACAGTTTTCTTGACAGCCTCACTGGTGCCAGTCCCGATAAGTGGTGGCTGGGCTTGAAAAATCTGGAAGGTTATTTGAAGCCCACTAGCAGTAAAGCAAACCTTGGGACATTCAAGTCATGAGCCCAGTACTCTGATCGTTTTACTACCCCCGCCCATCGTAACACATGTTCGATTCCTGCATTAGCAGGATTTTCTGGCATGGTTCCCCTTTGTCAGTGGTGCAGGAAAGAGTGCCTGGCAAGGGAGATAGTTGTTTCGAATGAGAATTAAAAAAAACTGAGGTCTGTGTACACATTGGCGAGCACGTAACACACTGTATGGCATATGCCTGTTTTAATTAGCCTAGTCAGGACAGAACAGTAGGACGTTAAAACCCCATTTCATTTATCCCTGCCTATCAGTATATATATGATAGTATGATAGACTAAATGAAATGAAATGAAATGAGATTTAACGTCATACTGTTCTGTTCCAAACTGGGCTAATGAAGACGGGGATACACCATACAGTGCACTATGAGGGAAATTTTGCCCAGACAGTGGCACTATGGCCTACTCTTATATCAAATTCCAACTGTCAAGGGATCGTTTACGTGCACACTAATGTGTACATGGGACCTCTTTTTTCTGTCCCATCCGAACGACTAGACAGCTGTCCTTGTCAGACCCTCAATCCTGCATCACTGACAAGGGGGAACCACACTGGAAAATCTGGATGAACTTTCTCGGTTAACACCCGACCTCCAGGATAGCGAGCCAGCGTCTTACTCACTTAGCCACCATGACCCCCGTATGATAGACTAGGTTATAATATTATATAAAAAAAATGTAAGGAAATTTCCAGGTTCCCATAAACAACACTACATGAACTGAAAGTATCTACGATTCCTGCAAGACTACAAATTGTAAATAATACAGTTCTCATCACACAACTAAATTTTCTTCCCCAACTGATCTATAAAACACATTTCTTTTACCCAACTAGACAGTTAGTTACACAAGGCAAATGCGTGATAATTAGGCTATACAATATTAGTCCTTTCATATAGGGATGTGCATTCTATGAGATGAAAAAAAAATACCACAACAAAAAATTATGACCAGCAGATAGTTCACTAAAAGGTACATAAAACTAAAAGAAAAAAAAAACCAGAATAAAATCATAATCCCTCTTTCTTAGTCACCCTTTCTTGTACTGTTGAGTTTGTGTTTTTAAATGGGTCCTATGTATTACTGAGTGTGTAATAATTACGACATGTCGTACAAAATTCCTAAATAATATATTAAACATTTGTATTTTTCACAAATTCATAAATAACATAACAAACAATTGCATTTTCCACCAAAATTGTAAGGAAAACACTGTTTTAAAAAAGCTTCACCATTGCTGTATCCCATTTCGAAAGGAATATCATGCTAACAAGCTGTTTCTCCTTCATAAATGATACATCTTAAAATATCCACCAAAAAATTAAACTCAACACATTGTTTATTCAGTGAAAATTATGACGGATTCCAATATAACTTGTGTTATTATAGGACGAAAAACTTTCTTCAAGTTAGACATATCGCTATCATTTAACGTTATTCTTGATAGAAATAGATGGGAGATGTTGCATATTGGGTAATACGATGTTAGATTTAGCGTACTTATAGCGGGCTCTGTCAACGTCAATCTCTAGAATATGTCTATCTTGAGTGTAAAGTTTCTATGTAAATACAAGCAGAACTATCTTGGATATCCTATAGCTCTTCTAACCTGTCACATATCAATTATCTTTCACACATATTTTATTTACCTTGTTCTAAGTAGGTATGAAATTTGTTTTCCTTTTAAACATGGAAAAAAATTAAACATGTCGACAATTTTTTCTAATTAGCTATGAAGAATTTATTATGACATGTTGGGACTTTTTTGTAATATTATGGAACACATGCTCTGTATAAACAAATGATAATTCCAGTTCAAGGGAGATAAATCCAATTCTCTTCATGCAGTTCAAGGCTCCATTTGTACTTGAATGTAACCAATGGCCCTGCTTTATTCATCCATACCGGCGAATACCGACTGACCATAGTTCAGCAATATTAGCGGTGAGGTCACTTGATTTATCCGGAAGTCTACAAAAGTTCGGCTGTGGTGTATACCAAATGCGCCGCTTTAGGTGGGATCGGCGAATATCACTTGACCGGCGTACGCCGTTTGCATACCGGCTCGCCTAGCGGTGGAGAAATCAAGCAAGCCCACTACTTCAATGTTTACTGTACTATGAAAAATAATTAGCCAGAAATTTTACCTTGACAACAGCGCTACAGACTACTTTTATTTCAAATTCCAACATCAATATGTTCATAGGACCTCAGTGTTCTGTCCCATCCGAACGACTAGACACTGTCCTTGTCAAGCTCTCAGTCCTGTACCACTGACAAGGGTGAAACCAGGCCTTGGGAAACTGTGAAGGAAGATCCTGAGGAAACTTCTCAGCCAAAACCGTGCATTAAGCCAAGACCTCCTGGCAAGCAAGCCAGCATCTTACTCTCAGAGAAGTGTTTATGTGGTGTTTTTTTTATGTAAGGGGTGAGATGTCTGAAGTGTGGCCGTGTGGAATTCGGTTGCAATGTAAAGTGTATCATTTTGTTTAATTCTTTTGAAATTCTCCAATATATAGGACATACATTAATTGATTGGCACTGAAATAGGATCTGATCAAATCTATGCTAATCAATGCTAAATTGTGAGCAGTAAATTGCTATGCAAATCCAGTAATAAGCTACCATTGGATACAAATACTAGAGAATATATCCAATTTAACGATACATTATGTTAGATTTAGAAAAAGAACTGGCCGTTCTTGCAATAATAGTTCAAACCTAGATAATGCAAAAAAAATATATTAAAAAATTTCATTCAAATTACTTTATTCTGGGGCCAAGTTATCAATGTTTGTAGTTTTGACAAGATATGTGCATTGATTGTTTATTATTGTAACCACAGTGCTGGTTATTTGAGGCTTAGTCTCACTTCTCCATTTTTAAATTAAATCATTAAATGGCCAAATCGTTCAAATCTATTTAAAATCAGAGCCATCCAACAGCTTCAAGAGTTGATTATGGTCTTATCATGTTAATAAATGTCTAATTAATAATTAATATAACATTTAAGGACTAAAGAAAGACCTGTAATATGTAGATTTAGCTCTTGAATAATGCATCTTTAAAAATAATAAAAAAAAGATAAATATTAAAAAAAAAAAACCCCCAAAAAAACCCAGGACTATAATTATTTCGGTACCTAGTTACTTGATAATGTGGTTTGAGCAAAGAATTTAGAATAATACTTACAGTAATTATTTGTAGATCATGATTTACCACCAATATTAGAGAACCATCTTGAACCCATACTTCCTAATTTATCTAGTTTATCATATAGAGAACTACTCATATCATTAGTTTGTGATGGATCTGGTAGTGTTGCCTGTACCACAGATGTTAAAGATGAATCCACTGACTAAAATAATAAAACAGAGTTATATTTAAAAAGTTCAGGAAAAAAAAAAGAAACAGGATTTACCTTTTATGCACCAACTGGGATAAAGAAGACGACCATGGACCATGAATTGGGCTATGATGCAATTTTTTTTCCAGACAATTAATTTTCTACCAACTTCACAGTTGAAATCTGAGACGATTCCTTTATCAAAGATACATTATGTAAGATTTATATAAAGAGCTGACCATTCTTGCTTTAATAGCTCAAAAATAGATAATGTAAAATGAAAAAATGGAAATAAAAAATATGCTACAAAAGTAGCGGTTATTAGATCTCAATCTACCCAAAACAATCATTATCTTAAGTTTTGAAAAAGACTTGTCAAAAATTGTGACCTCTACAGAACGGACAAGCATATTTATGATAATTAAAGGGCAATAACTAAGAAATAAAATAGTGATTGCACTTAAATTCAATCCCAACCATAGTGTACTCCTAAGAACCATTAACCTTAAGTTTTAAAAAGATTTTTCAACAAAAGCGAACAAGCAAGTGTGGACAGACTGACAAACCGACGGACAGGGTAACTACTTTGTGTGTGGGCGTATAAAAAGAAGTCATGTTTAATATACATACTCTAGACATTGTCTGTGAGAGAAGAGGTTGAGTAAACGCTGATTTATTCTCTTTAGAACTGAGTGGTAAAAGTGGGAATCTGTTGGGACATGATGTTAATGGTAGGACATTGTGCTGTTCTTGTTGTCCACTCATTGGTGTACGGCCAGACGACAACATACCATGTTTATCTAAACTTGTTAAAGCACCAAATATCACCTAAAATAGACAATAATGTGATATACATATATACAGCACCAAATATCACCTTCAGGTTCCAATAAAAATTGCAAAGAGCAATGAAATTCCAGATTGCTGGATCAAATATATTTCATACAATAAGACAATAAACTGACCATTTCAATACAACCCACCCACATAATATTGTAAAAAATTTAACTAATAAATATGAAACTTACAGCACATCTTTGTGTATGTTTAAGGAGATTAGATGAAATGTACGGTGTAAAAACGTTGAGATCAAACGGATCAATAATATCTTCTAATCTCTCTATTATCGATTCCACTTTCTTCCGGTATTTTTTACATGACTGAAACATAATTTAATACACACAGGTATATTTACAATATTAAACTGAGCAAAGCATGATCAATTAATATATGATCCTATTCATATATTGACAAAAGTCTGCCTGTAACTATATTAAAAGAACAGTAAATTTACATACACATCTTCAAAGAATTTCCAAAAAATGATAAATGTCAATACATTGATCTATACCGGTAATTGCTCATTTGTCCAAACAAGAAATAATCGAATATTGTTTAGAATAACATACAGTTAATATTGGAAATTTGAGTAGAAACAGAAATGATAGCATGTAAATCAGTTTATAAAAGAGTGTAAAAGAGTGGACTTCGATTTTCTGTTTCATCTGAATGACTTGGCAGCACTTTCCTTGTCAGTTTCACTGGCGCTAAACCAGTGAGGAGTGGTTAATGGGTATATATAGCCAAACAATATGTCGAATAACAGTGCTCAACGATTATCATGTAGTAACAAGCGTGGTGTAAAATTAATTTGAATATACTTTTTTCCTTTACTAATACATTCTAATTTTACCTCTTCATCATCTTTTCTTGGAATAATCAGTTGAATAAATCTGATGTTAAATAGAGCTTGTAGAGATTGTTGTTGTGTCAAGGGCACATCACTCTGTGAAGATTTGTTTTTGCCTCGATTTACCAGATGTTCAAACTCTTCAATTATACCATCACTGACTTTATATACTAAATCTTGTATAATGGATCTATACAAATAAAAGAATCAATGTAAATAATAAAATAACTTCATTAAGTTTAAAACACTATATATGAACTCATCTTCAACAACTTTTTCACTGCATACCTTGAGGCCTCTTTTATATCTAGAATGTTAAATCTATGCCCGGTGAATATGATTTTGTTAGAAAGAAAAAATCTTGTTGTGCCAACAGAATTGATATGTGGATATGTGATACATGTAAAAGACTTCAGATATACTACTTAGCCTCAGGTTCACAGATTTTCCATTTTACAAGCTTGTCTCATGGTAGTCAGAGAACTCAAACATCAGAATTTTATTGAAACCACAGAGTACGTATAAAGAAATAAATGTTCATACCTTGGTAAAGCTTGTCCACCAACTCTATTAATATCACGACATAATGTATATAACATTGATTGTACATACCATGAGGCCTGAAAAATACATATCATAAAATAACTTGATCATTTCATCAATAATCAAATAATCTGACATTCTATCTAACCTGGGTAACAAATTTCAAGTGTCAAATTTAGTAAGAAAAAAGAAAAGATTGGTGATAAGTGTCTCAGGAACACATTACTTTGGTCATTTTGAGATTAACAAATGATTTGTTTTTTCTAAAGCCATGTGGAGTGTTTTGTCTGTCGACTATTCACCGGATTCCAACTGTCAATGGGTTATTTCACATGGATGCCAATGTGCACACAAGCAGACATCAAGATTTTTTTAATCCCATCCGAACAACCAGTCAACATTTTATTTCCTAGCATAGCTAGTACTATCCCTGACAAGTAGGAACAGTGTTTGATCTGTCTCAGTCCATGTTGGGATTCAACCTCAGGATATACTAATTGAGAGTCTAATGCACTTATAAACCGTTCACTTAACACGGCCCCACGAATAAACCCAACATATTTGAATATGAAAGTGAAACCAACCTGCATAGGTATATGAATACTTGATTTGAGTTTTCTTCCTTCATCAGTTTCTTCCTGTATATTAACTTCTTCCCATCTCTAAAATAAATTCTACATATAATACAATATCATGATTCATATTCCTTTTAAGTGTTGAACTTTCACAATATTGTTGTTTGAAAGGGAACAATAGTGTCCTACTTTACTGCGCCCATCAAGCTAATGAATACTGCAATGTTGGAAATTTTGTACAGACAGCAGCGCCTACAGCCTACTCTTTTTTATTTTCAGATGTCAAGGGTTGTATTACCTATACAAGAAATCTCAATCTTTCGTGATATCCAAACCACTCGACACCACTGACTAAGGGAAACTATGCTGAAAAATCCAGAGAAACTTTCTCGGCCAACTACAAAATCTAACCCTTGAACTCTTACGCTTAGTTAGTGAGCTAGTGCATTACTCACTAAACCACTGTGGCTCTCAAATCAAATTGATGAACAATCATTTTATATCTTACATATAAATGTTTAAAATGATATATTAAAGACTACTTACCGTACATGTTTGAACAGTATCTGTCCAACTTTTAGAATGTAATGGCCGTGAAAAGTTTGTAATTATCTGTGATTTAATATAATCTATCCATATTCTGTAATTATATATAAACTTGTTATAAAATAAACTTTATATTAAAAACTTTTTATATTTTCTTTATAGGAGCTCGGTCACAAGGTCTGTGTGCCAAGGAGACATCAGATCATCGGACGCTACATACACTTTCCTTAGGTTCCAGTTACTAGAAATGGGGTTTAACGTCAACTCGAAAACAAACTAAGTCATTTTGGGATTAACTTATGGTTCAATTTTATTTCAATAGTTCGCTTGAGCATAGGGGTCTTTTAGCAATGGGAGGAAACTGGAGGACCCAGAGTAAACTTATGAGGTCGGACAAGCGACCCTACTACTTGTCATATACAACCGGGGAATCGAAACCATGATAACTGACTCAATGACAGACTGTATGATACACCCCGCACGCGCTAATCATTCCGCCATCTGACCCCCCGGAAGGTGGTAACCTTTGTGACCAATAATAAACCAATTAAGATTAAGACTGACAAAAATAGCCAATAACATTTTGAAGATTTTAAATTTGATGATTGTCACATAGGTTGTAAGTTTATAATAAATATATACCTGTATGAAAGTAATTTACATTCTTGTAATTTAGATGTTATAACCAACCACTGACTACTTTCAACCACTTTAGGTCCAGATCTAGTCTTTTTCAATGAGCGACTTAAAGTAAAAAGCATAAAAATCATCTTAAAAATTGAAAATATTTTTGGATAAAGTTAAAATATTTTTGCAAAATTTTAAAATCTTCTTAAATAAATATAAAACATTTGAAGAGCCCCGGGGAAGAATGATCTAAGTCACTTTTTCAACGAACCCCAGTTAATGGCGCCATCTGGTAGCAAATTGTATAAGCTTTCTGTGGAACAATATATTACAGGTAAAAACGATCAGAGTCACATCAAACCAAGGCCCTTCTGAAATGGCCTCCCGGAACAAATAAGTCCATCGTACCCTTTTATTTGACTTGATTTAGCTGAAAAGTGGAAGTCTGTTGTTGTACTGGTAATTATGATTTGTGTTAAACATCATTTTGAAGTTGTTATTAAACCCACTCGTTGTTCTGTTCGCGTCAAGCATTCTTGTCCAAAAGCCTGTTTTGCCTTTTATGCGAAAAGACAAAAATTGTTCTTCCCCTGGACTCTTCATTTATCTAATCATTAATTAGCTTTAAAAAAAAAAAATATTTCAAGTTCAGTTGTCCATCAAGGCATATTTTTTTAAAATGTATAATACCTAAATGATTCTTGAGTTTGAAATTCTGAAGCTCCTAAAACACATTTTTGTAAGTGAGGCACTAATTCACCTACAGCTGAACATAGACGTGCTACCAATAAAACTCTGTAATTACAAAATAAAACATTGATTAAAGCCAAAGTCTAACAAGTTCTATCCTTTAAACAAAACATGTTGATTATAAAGAAATAACATCGACAAGCCCCCTATACGCCAAATTAATAATTCCTGAAAATTAAAAAAAAAATCAGACAAGAGAGAGAAATGGGGTGTAACCTCCACTCGACACAAACTAGGTCATTTTGGGACTAACATATGGTTCAATTTTATTTCAAAGGGGTCTTTAGCAGTGGAAGGTTAGACAGGCAAATCAGACAAGAACTGTACTGTTGAGAGTGTTCACAAAGTAAGTTGGACAGACTTATGAGAATATTCCAATTAACTGTGGGCCTATAGCAAGACAACTATGTTCTAAGTAATGCTATCATTTGAAGGTGATAGATAATCATAAAGAAATGAAATAAAATGGGGTTTGACATTCTACTGTTACTCCGTAATCATATAGAAATAACACTTACTTATTTTCTGTAATAACAGAAGCTAGGGGATCTTTTATTTCTGTTAATGCTTTCTGCCAAAGTTTCAGTTGTTCTGTCAAATAATTTAATATTCTGAAGAAAGAGAAATGAGCTTTTTAAAAACTGTCAATTCAAAACTTACTTGTATTCGTCAACGGTTATCCCAAACTCACAGACATGAGCAGGAACCCTATATAAAACACTGGTTCCACACCTTAAAAGTCATTTAGTGACTGACATATTATCTTTATTTCAACAATTCACTTGCTTTAGCAGTGGGAGGAAACTGGAGAAACCCCAGTGTTGGGTAGACAACCCTACTACTTTTCACATGCAAACCTGGGGGCGAAACTATACCACCACTTGACTCAATGTTGGACCGTTTGATCCAAGTGCAGGTGTTAAGACAACTAGGCAACCCCAAACCCCTTCATGATGACACAGGGAACCCCTGATATAAGCAAAATTTGAAAATAGCAGGAATTTAATTGGTTTCTAAAGTCCACATTCATTTCAGTACTAAAATAAAACAAGCAAATTTTATTGTTTCAACTTACTCTTGAATACATTGACTACAGCTTGTTTCTACATAGGTCAATATAACAGCTGTATCTTGATATAAATTAAATGGTCCTTCAATAGTTGCTTGATGTCTATCTTCAGGATACAAATAACTCTCATTATCTTCTTGTAGAGATTTTAACTTCTCATCAATACTGTGACACAGACTAAAATAAAACATGGTATCAATTAAATACAGGTAAAATAAACATTAAAAATTACAAGATAATATTATTAATATCAACACTTATATATATACATGTTCCTGAAGCAACATCTGGACGTTGCTTGTTTACTTCACAATTCTGAACTTATAGCTATGTTATCTACAGATCCGTAAGCAGTAGCGTCCAATCAGAGGTTGTGACATCGCGACCTCCACGGAAATCTTGACATTGAATGAACCTTGGAACTTTGCAACTCGATTATCACAAGTAGACATTTTAGCTTGAAAGTGCGAGACTTGGTATTCGTGACGATCGAGGAATCTGATAGGCTCACAAGCTGAGCTTGTACCCGATCGAAATTAGTACCGAAATATGCAGGGTATTACGTAAAGGCCTAGATAAGATGTACATAGTTAAAGTGAGATCAAGCCTTCTATTGAAGATGATATATATAGCGCTTTATCCACCCTTGTGCTGCACAAAAAAGGATGTCTCCTATACAGAAAACAAAAATAACAATTAAGTCCTAACATATGCAGTTAAAAGGAACATTTTATACATAATATGTTTGCATGGATTAAGAAAGGAACTCCTTTGCTATGCTTTTATCTTATCAAAATGTTTTGTTAGTTTTCATATAGTATTTCAAGACTCTCTTCAAATTAGATCTTTGTGTAGACATGTGTTGAATTCCTCCTATCTATCATGGCAGATTCAATTAATTTTTTCAGATAATTTAAATACCAATATTCGATACTTAACGGTAATTAATCTACTAATATACAAGATCAAAATAATGATATTTAATAAAACCATTTCAATCTATTTGTAGTGACAGTTTTCTCTTTGATTGAACTACATACTGACAATCGACAGTCAGTCTGGGATATTCATAGCAAAAGACTTCCTTTCTCAGACCATGCAAAAATAATACTACAGATCTCAGACAATCCTTTCAACATTTCTGATGTAGTTTGTTTTTGTTTGTTTTTATATTGTCAACAGATCATGTGGTTAAATGACTTAAGTTCTAATGTTCATCAAACTATATAAACAAATTTTACCTTTGAACTGCAGGTGTAAAAGCTCGAGCTTTCAGTATAAGACCACCACTATCTGCCATTGATTTAGTACCAGATGTTGTCCATACAGCATTGGGAGATATATCACCTGCTGATTCCGACCAAATATAGCCAGCTAAATCCATTTCATGCACCATTCCACTGAAATAGTATTAAATATTTTAAAATAAGGAAAACCTTTGTCAGGAAATGGATAAACCTTTGAAAATCTTAATATAAATGAATGAAATGAAATGGGGTTTAACTGAAAGGCAAGGGACAATAAAGGGAGAGAGAGAGAGAACATATAGTTCAATTTTATGCGTAGGGGTCTTTAGCAGCGGGAGGAAACCGGAGAAAACCTACAAGGTTGGACACCTGACCCTACTCCTTGTCACATACAACCGGGGAATCAAAACCACGCCAGTTGACTCAATGACAGACTTTAAGGTACAGCGCGCACGTGCTAACCATTAGCCATCCAACCACCAGCAAGGGAAAATAAAAGAAATATCTTTATGTCTTCTGTGTGAAAATAGGAAATAATTTAAATCAAAAACAAATAAATTGTAAACTTGACAGAAAATAAAAAGTACATACCTATCATTATAAGAAGCTAGGTCCATCATGACCTTGGTGACATTACGTTTAGTTAATTCTGCTGTTGTATCCAGTTGATACTGATTCAAAGCCTTTAAAACAATACAAATTTTAATTAAAATAAACAAAAACCTAATTTTACAAAACAAACCAAACCTGCTGTTGTAATGCAAGATACCCCGACATATTGCTTGAGATAGATAGAGAATAAGCTAAAAAAAATAATAAAAAATGCGATTTTTTGTACAATCAGGGGCCATAATCCAGTAAGTTATGTTCTGAAATGTGGGCGTATAAAAGTTCCCTAATGAAGTGTGCTAAGAGTGTCTGTGATATCACCTTAGTGGAAGCAGACATTAAAGAACCAAGCTAGTAGTAGTGTGCTAAGAGTGAAATTTTCTCCTGCTCTTGGCCCAATTCCAACTGCCAAGGGTTATTCTACATGAACACCAACGTGTGCACAGGACATTAGTTTTTTCGACCTCTGTCTTGCACTACTAAGACCTGAATAGCCAGAGGAACTTTCTCGGCCAATACTGAGATTTGATGGTTAGTGAGCTAGCGCCTGACTTATTGAGTCACCATGACTCGCACTTCCGATTCTCTATATATATCTGATGTGTAGAGTAAAAGAAACATACCTTAACTCTATCTAAGAACAATGGTTTTAATACGTCTGTCCATACATTGAGTTTTCTATCTAATATACTATCACACACTTTTAACCAATTACTCTGATTTTCATCCTGAAAAATACATATTCATTAAATACACAAAGAAAAAGTTTAGCAAATCTGGTTTGCAAGAATACATCTTTGACAATAAGAAAACCTAAAGAGATAATCCAGTCTTAAGATTTTAATCATGACATTGATGACACAAATCATCATTAGTTGGTAAATTCGCCACGTGCCTCCAGTAAGTCATCTGATCTACTGAATGGGCAACTGTTGCCATTCTCTTCCAGGGTAGTACAGGTAGGTTCAGCAGATGTACTTGACAACCCAAAGATATCCCAAATGTTTTCTAAAGGGTTGAGGTCATGGTAACAGCACAGAAAGTTTCAATAAAAATATATGTATTAATAAGACTACAGTAAAGAATAGATCATATATCTAACCTCTTGAAGTAATTGCCATACAGCATCTCTAATGTCAGCCAATCGTTTTACAGTATTCACATAACTCAATAATTTACTTATACCACTACTTATATCTTGAACACACCTACAAAATATTATATTTCATGTAATATAAAATCTATACAAATATTAATTGTGACTGTCACGTTTTTTTTTCTGTCTGTCTGACTGTCCCAAGGCTGAAATTTGGTGTATTAGGGGTAGCTCGAACCAATAAGTAGCACAGGCTTGGTGGCATTGGACTACCACTTCCTGTTTCAGAGTTATGTTACCTCTGGTTCATGGTTATACCCGTGCTACGCCAGGTCATTCGCTAGTGTGATAAATTATTATACAAACTATTATATATTATACAAAATATTATACACCATACAAAATGTTATATATCATACAAAATATTATATATTATACAAAATATTATCATCCAATATATTACTTATGATAAAAAATAAATTTCTAACATACAAAAAATCATCATTTCTTTAAAAAACTAATTTTATTTTTTTAAAAAATATGTTATACATGTAGATAAATGTTATTTAAGATTATAACTCACGTTGTAATCCACTGTTGACAATTATCCTGTAGATGTTGTAATGATATGTTTTTTGCAACATTTCTTAAAGCTGGTCGAAAATCTGTAAATAATAATATTATCACCTATAATAACTACAATACAGTGATATGTAGTGGATTATAATACTTTATTAATCTAATAATATACTGCTACAGGACATACTGATAATTATATCACTATCAATTTACACATCGGATTTACGAGTTTCTGAACTATCCAAACAATTAAAAACTATTGGCTTGTCAGCTCCAATCGTGTTACTGCTTGTGACAATCATATTCAAAATTGTTTGAAGTGTCTTCTCGATATACACTTTCAAAATATAAGTAATGCTGCTAATTTGTATCTCAGCAAAACATAAATATAATATGTTCATACCTTTAACGGATTTTGGTAAACATCTTGATGATATTGAACCCTGTAGATCCAATAAACCAAAATCTGCAATAATTAGGTTTTAAAAATTAACATCCACAAAACCCAAAAAAGAACACAAGTTGGGTTTTATCTTTCAAATGTATTATGTTTAGCTCTAATTATTAAGATATTTTTGTAAAGTTCAACATTATTCCATAAAAAAAACCCATAAATTTAATTGTATTTATTGTGCTTTAATGTTAAATTCTTCGAAATAATAATGTAAATGTAGTGACAGGTAATTTCTCCAACCAGCCATAGTATTCGATCCCTGCATTTGATGAGAAAGTTCATCAGGATTTTCTGACGTGGTTTCCCCTTGTTATCAGTGGTGCAGGACGGGGGCCTGACAAGAAGGTCAGCTGTCTAATCGTTTGCATGGAACGAAAAAACAAGGTCTCGTGTAAACATTGGCGTGCATGTAAAAGATCCCTTGGCAGTTGGAATTCGATATAAGAGTAGGCCATAGTGCCGCTTGCCAGGCAAAATTTCCCTCATAGCACACTGCATAGCGTATGCCCGTCTTTATTAGCCCAGTTGGAGCAGAACAGTAAGACATTAAACCCCATTTCATTTCATTTCCAACCAGTCATGTCCACTGTCTGTCAGTCAAGACTGTCAAATAGAATGGAAATAAGAGGCCTGATGTAAATATTTATGATTAGCCAGTAGTGTAACTTACCATCTTGAGATTTGGTTGTAACACTGTTTATTGTTTCTAGAAGGAGATCACAATTTTCTGGAAAAAAAGACAAACAATATAAGATTAGACAAGAAAATTAAATGTTATATTTGAGAAAGGGATACCTTTTTAATGTTAAACCTTTTTCAACTGTTTTATAAAAAGCATATTATTACCTAGAGGTAATGTCATTAGCTCATAGCTATGTTATTGTTTTGGAACTTTTAAACATGTTTAATTATTATTTTTCAACAAGTTCGACTTTATTTAGTATACCCCAGGGAGCTTTATCAATATCGGGTCATGAATGGCTGAGGAACCCACTTGAAAGCTGAATGACCCAAATGGTCTGGTCTTGAAAAATGTCCTGAAGAATATTCAAGTCAAGTTTCATCCAGCTCCGTTACCAAACGGCCTTGAAATAAGACTTCAAAAAATTATCCACATGAAAGAGAGAGAGAGAAATGGGGTTTAACGTCCACTCGACACAAACTAGGTCATTTTGGGACTAACACATGTTTCAATTTTATTTCAATAATTCGCTTGCGGGTAGGGGTCTTTTAGCAGTGGGAGGAAATCGGAGGACCTGGAGAAAACCCACAAGGTTGGACAGGCGAACCTACTCCTTGTCATGTCGAAACCCCGCCAGTTGACTCAATGACAGACCGTATGATACAGCACGCGCGTGCTAACCATTCGGCCATCCAACCCCCCACTATCCACATGAAAGGGAAAGAGAAGGGAAAAAGATAATGCGGGCAAAACTCAGACCATGTGGGGCATCCAGCAATCCGAGCAAAATATGTAATATTTACCTGTAGATGATTGTGTGTTATAAAAGACAGCATATATCTGATGTATAGTATTAGTTAAAACTCTAACCACTGTACAAACTTGATCTTTTATATTAGACTGTTGATTGGGATGTAATATAAACTGTACTGCTTTCTAAAATATAGAAAATAACAAACATATATATAGATCATGTTATATATAACTGTCAAGGGTTCTTTAACATGCACATCAACAAGTACATGGGTGGATCTCAGTTTTTAGTCCCATCCAAATGACTTGACCCTTTTCGCTGCTAGGCTGGAAAATCTCGCGAAACTTTTTCAGTCAAGACAGGATTAAACCAGGGGTCTCCTGGTTAATGAGCAAGCACCGTACTCACTGAGCCACCTTGTGTTTATAAATATTAATACAAGTTACCATGAACATGAGATAATCATGAAATTAATTAAACATATATAATTTGGGCTTATTAAGAACTAATGTCCATTATCATTGAAAACATATATAGCTACTATAAATATATCTTACAGTTCTTGCAAGTAGAAATTCATTGAAAACTTGTCTTGGAGTACTATCTTCTAACAATAAAATAGAACATAAATATTCGGCCAATTTCTGAAAACATATAAAAGTAAAATGATATTAAAAAATGTCACAGATGTAATGGAACTGAAATATATGTATAATACCAAAACTTTGTCAGGCAATCTGTGCCTCCAAAACAAACTGACATAATAAGAAGAGGTAGAACAATATAAGAAAAAGGTAGACATGTCTAGAGCTGTTATCATTTAAACTAAATTAAAGCAAATATCAATACTTGCATCAATAATGAATGATATTACTGATATGACGAGTAAACAAACTAAATTATACCTGATCAGAAAATCTGGAATCAGAATCTTTTAACAAGTTTCTGCAACCCTGTAAAATAAAAACCAAATGAGATAAATTGCTTTTCAAAAACCACATTTTAACTCTGGTAAATTATGTCTGCCCAAATCAAAAAAACAAATTAAGAATCTATGAAAACATGTCTCTTGGAGGGGTTTTATCATCCCCAAACTACTAAATAACAGAAATCGAGTTGTTGACTTGATGCTTTGTCCAATTCATGAGTCTAAAAAAATTTGTACCTGCCTCCTTCAAATTTTAAGCTATTACTAACAACACTTCACACTTTAATTCAATGGCACCTGGACCAATAAGATTTTTTGTTCTCATAGATGATTTTTCCAGTTGACAAATTTTTACTGCCAACAAAAAATTGTCACACTTCACTCGAATAACCTGTCCTACCTATCCATAGACATTTTATATGAATGGCATGAGAAAGAGCATAATTTACCTGTAGTATGGATGATTTAAAGTGACTGATAGCCGCCCACTGTCGTGTTAATAAAGGAAACCAAGATAAAACAGATGAAGATCTCTGTGTATCAAGATGTAAACTTGTATTAATATGTCGAGCTAGTAGGTAAAGTTGTGTTGCTCTCAGATAATCCTGATTATCTACACTACTCCAAATCTGCAATTTAAAAATAAAAATTACTAACAACTGTTTAAAGAAGGAGATTCAAATTTTTAAGAGGAGCCTAAGTGGGTAAGATGCCGGCTCGCTAGCCTGGAGGTCGGGTGTTTGCTCCTTGCATTGGCCGAGAAAGTTCATCCAGATTTTCCGGCGTGGTTTCCCCCTTGTCAGTGATGCTGTCTAGTCACAGCACACTGTATGGCATCTGCCCATCTTCATTAGCCCAGTTCGGAACAGAACAGTAGGACGTTAAACCCCCATTTCATTTCATTTCAAATTCTTAATTGCATCATTAGAAATTTACATGGTAGGTTGTTCCATAAAATTGTTGCATTGTATCTGAAAAATTTACTTCCATTTAAATTTTGACATATCCACTGTTATTGGGAGCCAATGGGTTTGTGATGGTGTGTATGATGTATTATAATATATTATATATAATGCAAGTCCCTGTAAAAAGCTACTGAATGAAATAAAAGTCAATTACTTTCTCAGGCATGTCTAGCAAAAGTTTGATCTGCGAAGCCACACCATAAAATTCTACTTCTTCTTTCTTTCTGTAAAATATAAAATAATCAACAGAATTATTACATTTGTATAGTTCAAATCACAATTATAGTAATTGTAAACTGCATGAATGAAAAAAATATTTACAACGGAATTCCCAATTTGAAGTATGAGTATGTAAATAAAATCAATTAGACATCTAATTGCATCTTGACATCAATAAGAAAGGATTTAAAGTTAAGTTATTTACCTTCCTGCTGGTGCTTGTTTAGAAGATTGTGGAAATGAAACTCCTTTCACCATATGATTTTGTTTTAATTGTTGACACATTGTTTCCATAGTAGAAATTGATGTCATAACCTGAAATCATCCGAGAATATGTCAAATTAATAATAATCGCAGCACTATATATAAATAAAGCTTGACGTACAATTATAAAGAATGCAATGGGGGAACTGTTTTCACAATAAGGGGGTTGGGTAGGGGTAAGCTTTTCATCTGCAGTTTGTCACTGATTATATTCATTTGCAGTTTGGGGGGTACATGATAAGGGGTAGGGCCATCTACTAAACTGTATGAGTTATTCTAGGATCTTCCTATTGCTAAACAGCCCTTTGTGCAAGTGAATTAATGAATCAACATATGTTAGTCCCAAAATAATCTAGTTATGTGAGTGAACATTAAAATCTAGTAATACATTTCATTTCACATTAAATTATGTTTTATTTCTTTCAATTATCATTTATCTTGTTGACCTTTCAGTAGTCTATATTCAGACATCAATAACAAATTATTGAACCTATACATACATCTGTTACTCAATAATCAATGCTATGGGCTTATTATCTCTCATTATCACATCTAATAAAACAAGCAAAAAAAACCAGACATTTATTAAAAAGACTATCTTTTAAGAAAGAAATACTAACATTTTCGGCACTGTTCTTCATGTCTGTTATAGTATCTGCAGCTTCAATTAAATCTCTATATCGTTCCCTGCAATAACAAATACCAATCGTTTATCGTTTATCGTTTATCTGAAATTCAATACATGAGCTTGTACCAGAATTTTCCAGACAGGATGGGAAATTTTCAAAAATTCACAACGGAATTTCCAACCTGAAGTATGTCAACAAAATTCACAGACATGTAATTGCATCTTGGCATTGATTAAAAAGGAATTAAATTGGCTTACAGAGTTTGAAAAAGACTGGCTTCAAATGCAAAACACATACATTCATTTTGTAACTTTTTATGTCTTCGTACATAATGCCCATTCCCTGCCATCCATAATTCATTTCTGTTGGTATAAAAATGCTAAATAAATACATAATAATTCACACTTACCCAACCATAACTCTCAGATCTTCCTTTTTTCTTTCAATATCAGCCCTGAAATATATTATGGCAATATTTACATACAATAAACTAACCTGTCATACACTGTAATGGAAAATTTAATAAAATGACATTCTTTCGAGAACACAAATGTTATTTAATGTTTGATTTGTTGTGAATTGGAATCAGCCAGCTAAACATTGTTCAGTATCACATTGGAGGTACCATAAACATCATTCAGTATCACATTGAAGGTAAACATTGTTCAGTATCACATTGAAGGTAAACTTTGTTCAGTATCACATTGAAGGTAAACTTTGTTCAGTATCACATAGGAGGTACCATAAACATCATTCAGTATCACATTGAAGGTAAATATTGTTCAGTATCCAACTGGAACCGGAGTTAATAAATCATGGTGCACATACTTTAAATGGCACATGAAATTATTATAACCAATGTCAATATAACATCAAAATATATAAAAATTCAGAAATTTAGGTCAAGTGTACAGCAGGGGAAAAAAAAGACAATAATGTCTATATTCTTTTTAAGACTAACATACCCTTTTATTATAAGCTTACCTGTTCTTTTTTTCTTGTTCTCTGATTTCATCAATAGTAAAATTTTCAAACAAGGTACTATTGTTGGTTTCATCCTTATCAATGGCCATGCCACCTTCAATAAACAGAAGATGAAATTGCTTAATGTAAAATTTAGAGGCAGAATAAAATTGGTCATTATTTAAATTTTAGATAAATAAAACATACAATACATGCACATTGAAAAAAACCATAACAGTTCACAAAGTACATGTTGTACAAACACTAAATCTAAATGTAAGTTAGATAATAATAATATCCATGCGATGTTCAAACTCAAGAGTCAATCATCTAATTCATGAAACATTACAACCACTATTGACAGGTATCTTGCATGGGACAGACCAACGCAGAATTTGCTGCGATATGTATTTTAATTTTTAGTAATTGTTCTATGCCTGCAATGTACTAGTACTGTACTACAGTAATACTAGGATTTTCAATGATAGGTCTGTTAAATTTTTTCTGGGGTGAGTGGATGGCCGAATTGTTAGCGTGTGCGCATTGTATCATAAGCCATAAGGTCTGTGTTTAAGTCAACAGGGGTGGTTTCGATACCCGGTTGTACATGTACATGGTTTTTATCTGAGTACTCCTGTTTCCTCCCACTGCTAAAGACCCCCTATGCGCAAGCGAATTATTGAAATAAAATTGAACCATATGTTAGTCCCAAAATGACCTAGTTTGTGTTGAGTGGATGTTAAACCCCATTTCTCTCTCTCTCAATTTTTTTCCCCACATAGGAGAGCTTGGTCGCCGGGGAGATATTCCTCACGGGGTCAATCACTTTGAATTGCACATGACGTCAGAATTTTTGGACCAAACCCGAATTTTTGGACCAAACCCAACCCTAACCCTAGATGTGTGTCAGTGTCGCTAAAAATAAACTAATAACACCAAAGAGGCTGTCAGTCAGGCATCGATATTTCCGCGCACATGCGCACGGCATGCGCAGGCACATTTACTTGAAAAAAAATTTTTGCAGGCACATTTTTAAAGATGTAGCCACGCCGGGCGGCGCCTGTGCCCGGCACTTTTTTTTGCCGCCCAGCACAAAGACAAAAATCGAAAAAGGCCCAGTCGTATTTAAACCCCTTCATCCTTCTCTGTACACAAACTCGGCGCTCGAAATTTACCACAGCAATTAAACGGCAAAGCCATGGTAAAAGCCGACGTACGCAAACCATGTCTGTCACGGCATAATTTATTTTTGTGTGCCGTAGTACTAGTAGACCCTATCATCTCAAATTAGTTTAAAGAAATATGTATTGGTATTTTGTTTATTTATACTTAGAAGATGTGTAGGCCTAGTTCTTTTCATTTTACAATTATTCTACGGTCTTTATATTTGTTGTAAATAGGTCACCCAGACCAATTTACAACACTCCAATGTTAAAGGTTTGAATGTCATAATTGTCCAACACGTGCCTGCAAATTTTCACGATGATCTTATTTTATTTCTTACCTGTGTTGACCGTGGATTTGCTACGGCCCGAGAGTTGGACTAGGAGGACGACGAGAGCTTTCTCAGTTTCTGCCTGACCTGATTCTCATTCCATCGTAATAATAATAATATTCGTGAGACACGTACAACAACTTTACAAACATTGAAACAAGTCAAATAATACAACTTGTTTTAATTATCAATATCTACCTGTTGTCATAATTCGTTGTACTCAAATAAAACACAAACCCCGTTTTAAGAATCATTTTAATTTTTAATCTCAAAGTAATAAAGTAATATTTGAAAAAAACCCAACAAAACAACAAATACCGAAAGGTCCTTAACTTATCTATCCAGAGAAACAGAGTGGGGCGGGACAATTTTATGCTCGGTCGGGTGGCGTCAAAAAGTTTTTAGATCCCTGTATCATTGATGAAAATTAAGTGAATTTGGTAAAATTTGAATATATAAATGGAAATTTGATTTGCACTGAACCAAATACAAAAGGCAGCAGATGCTCTGAAAAAAACACCAAGAAGGGTTTAATTTTCATAAAAGACCACGCCCCCCTCCCAAAAAATATTTTGCCTCGCTCCGCTCGCCACATATATTTTAACACCACTCACCAAATCCTGACTACATCCCTGTGTTTCAGTATGACCCTGCAGGCACATTTTCAAGTGTGTGCACAGGCACACTCAACTTTTATAAAGCCCTGCTGTCATTAATACATGTAAATATTGTATTAAGACAATAGGGTGAGAACTTGTCTAGAAGATATCATCACCGTTTATGCTATTTCATTGTATATTTTAGTTCTAACTCCATTCGGGACGGAGGGCCTGACAAGGACAGCTGTCTAGTCCTTTGGATGAGACGAAAAACTGAGGTCCCGTGTAAACATTGGAATGCACGTAAAAGATCCCTTGGCAGTTGGAATTCGATATAAGAGTAGGCGATAGTGCCGCTGCCCGGGCAAAATTTCCCTCATAGCACACTGTATGGCGTATGCCCGTCTTCATTAGCCCAGTATAGGAGCAGAACAGTAGGACGTTAAACCCCATTTCATTTCATTTTCTAACTCCATGCGGCTAGGCCCTACCCGACACTAACAGTGACTGCTGTCACTGACCTGTGACTGACACATAAACGGTGTTTGTGGGGTTTGACGTACGGTGCCATGTCGCATTTTGCTAGCTCAGATTTTGCAGTATTACTTTTTCTCATAAAGTCGTCCCTAGCTATTAGTTTTGGGTGGATAATAAACTGCAAAACACTTCATTATTTACAAATACTTACTGCTTCGCGTGGCGGTGGCCATGTTGGCAATTCAGAACTCTTCAACAGTGAGGTAAAAATAGTAAGTAACAGTTCGAAATAAGGTAGTCGTAAAGAATTTATATATGTTTTATCGTCAATTTTATTACTATACGTTGTTTTTATTAACAGTGGAAAACTAATAGTATTTCTGAAGATTTTTATTATTATTTGTTAGCTTCGTTCGTTCGCTACTGGAGTTTAACGTACACTTCCATCTCCGTTGTTTTGTTTCTAAGTAGTGCCGCAACGATATCTTTAATGGAGTTATCTCCCATTATCTATGATCGCCGTAAGGGAAGGGTGAGAGGTGGGGTTTAACGTCCACTCGACACAAACTAGGTCATTTTGGGACTAATATATCGTTCAGTGTTATTTCAATAATTCTCTTGTGCGTAGGTGTGGAAGGAAACCTGAGGAGCCTACATGACGTACTTACAGGCGGGAAATCGTAACCACGCCTCTTGATTCAATCAATGCTCAATGATGAACGCGTTAAACAACGTCTATGGTCCTGGTTGTTTGTATCACTGCTAATGTTACCATTGGCATCTGGGCCTGATTAAGTGGGGTGGGAGTGACTGGGCTGCAGCCGGTGGTCAGAGGTTACAAAATTAGTTTTATTATAATTCTTGTGTATATCTAGGCCTACCATAATGACATACATACAACTTGCATTTGTGTGTGTGTGTGTGTGTGACGATGGCCAGGATATCCCCCTTTCAACTGTTGATGGCGCCTGTGAATGCGATATTTTGTTTTAGCCATCCCCTGCAAGGGCCACGTGCATGCTTAATCCGACCCTGGTACCATATAATAATTAGAGATTTTACCGCACCATGTCTTAATGACGCATAGCCTATGCATGTGCATATCTAACTAGGCGTAGATTACTAAGTTTATCAAAAGCTGTCATCAGTAGCTACAATGAATATGCATACAAATACCCCCATTTTATAAAACAATGCAGATCAGTTTGAGAGAACCTATTGTAATGCACACGCTGCATGATCATTTTAACCACAGGAATAAAAGCGCGAAATCCATTTTAATAGTTTCATGAATACTTTTTTTATATCCCACATTTTCCAAACGACCTATATCTCGAATTGTCTAATTATTTGCATAACTGATAGAGCACAAATTAATTTCCATTATTTCATTTACTGAAGTGCACTAAAGTAAACGGATAATACAATAATTACTTCAATTGTTCAAATAATTGTGCATTGAAATACAAATATCAGTTATCAGTAATTACCTTAATGTTTACCAAACAATCGCGTTTTAAAGGAATTTAACCGCAGGCGCGTCAAGTATAATTTACTGGTAGTTATATATATTCCAGGAGGCATGTATTGGGCCTATAGGCAATATGAATCTGACACTAGAAGCTTGTTGCTAAGAAACTAAACAGGAGATTATTTTAATTTATAAATAGATACATGATGAGTATAATTTAATTTACCGAGTTATTTTATATCTAAGAAAATTGATGCACGAAATTATCGATTCAAAACATTTTTAAAAAATCTGTAAATCTGCTAGTTTTTCAGTGGGGGCACCGAAGGTGCTAAGATCCTATTGGATTTAATGATCGGCATGGTCCCGAGAATACTTTTGTAGTTTTGGTCGTATTTCGCTCTTAAGATTCTTCGCGCCTTCGGTGCCTCTTAGAAACCCCCATAAGGAACCAAATGTCACTCTTATAATAGTCAATAAAACTTGTGCACATTGGACGCCCCTCCTAATAAACCCAATAGAAGTTAGGCGCCTTCCGCACCCCTGCTGTAAAGGATGCTTCTACAAATAGCTCGGGAAAGCAAAAAACAAATAATAAAATAAAATAAAATAAAAAATCGCAAAAATGTCTGGGTCTTGTTGACTAAAGAATGATAAATATTTGGTTCCTTGTGAAGTTTTATAGGGGGCACCGAAGACGCCAGATATGGGTTATAATGGAAAACAGAAATTAAACAATGGGGATGGTTTCATTGGCTAATCCCTCACGCCTTTAAGAACACAGTAAGTTCTGTCATGGTTCCACCTGGTCCATCAAAAATTGCACAACTTTCCCTGACCCGAGGTGACCTTTACAAGTAAGGAGGCCTCGGCATCTTCACACATCAAAATTAAACCAACGCCAATAACTATCATTTATTAGACTACTATTTAATTGATGGAACCACCATTCGTGCATCTTTACTCAAACAGGCTGGAGAGGGAGTGACCCAACTTACCTCGAGGATCAATTTAAGTCACCCCATCTCGCATAGACAAAACATTTTCAATACCAGTCCAATGTTGCGTAACGAAGGATAACTATCAATAATATTATACTTTAAAATGCTGGGCCCCGTTTCTCGAAATCTTAACTAAAGATAAAATCCAAATTTTAGTAGATACTTCAATTTTGATTGGATTACTAAAATTTGGATTTTATCTTAGTTAAAATTTCGTGAAACAGCCCCCTAGTGTAATTACAATGACGATCATTATTCACTTTTTGCACGTTATTAAAAGATTTACGTCATAGCCCTAATCTATACACACAATCCTTAAGACCGTATGAATACATGCTAATTGGACATGAAATGTCAGTTGAAAGTAAAAACAAAACAAATTCTATAGTTACCGATTTACTAGGCCTACTAATTTTTCATTATTTACAATGAACTTAATGTACATACAAGTAGATTTAAAATAGACATACTATCATTGTGTTGACTTAAAAAAATATCGAGGCCATGGCACGTTTTAAAATCTTTGTCAATAAATAGGTAACCTATTGCTTTTGTTGAATGGATTTCAGTTTTAATGTGATTAAAATGAAAACATTGCTCTCTTCTATGTTAGGAAATTAATTTTTAATTTGTTTGCAACCACTCGAGGGTATTACCATGGACCTTATAATACAAGGCCCATGGTATCACGACGTGAATAATCGCTGAAATACGTATTGCTTCTTAAGTCCGGACAAGATCGATCATACGTATTTGTCGAAAACAGCATCATACACTTTGTATGACGATATCCTGACTTGATGGAACTTGTTGTGGATTTTAGTATTGTTTGACATTTGTGTAATAAGTAAAGCAAAAAACAAATTGGCTGGAAAATACTAATGACACGATGTCCCCTGAGAGGTTTTCCTCGTGAAATTCTATTAGATGGGGTAGTTGTCTCAGGGAAAGTCCGTTTCGTTTCTACCCTGGGGGCCTCTTAGTTAATTTCTTGAAATGTTGTGATGTTGTGAACATTTGGTGTTTTGTTTTGTTTTGGTTTTTTTTGTTGTTGGTTTTTTTTTTGGTTTTTTTTTGGGGGGGGGGGGGGGGATAGGCAGGTAAATATTTAAAAACGACTGTTCATGATTAACCCTAAAAATAGATAACCGAGACTTTGTTTATCATCGTAACAACGGTAACAATGACAATCGCGGTTCCATGTTTTTGAAAGTCGGTTTTCTCGGCTTAAGAGTGAAGCAATTTGACCGAAATTTTCAACATATTCTCTTTGCATTATCTATATACATGTATAATGTTAGCTCTTTATCTTATTTTCCATGATTCCCCTTTAATTCATGAACTTTATGGTGGCATACACCGGATCCTCTCCCGAAAATCTAAGTCCATTAATTTCAGTTCTGTTAAACAGATATTACCATGTAAATTAATAAATAAAAAGTCATTCTTAACTTATTGGAAAATGTATTTTTTATTTTTTTTATAATTTGGTAGGCAGATCTAATCAATTTGGAAAGAAAATAATTGCAGCGCTCGATTATTTCATAAGATAAGTGTTATCTGTTTTCGTGTTTATAAGATGGTATAATATGTAATATCGACTTTCAGTGTTCCATTATTTGTCGTTACGGCTGCAGAACATCCGTAGATCTATTCGACAATATTAATTTTGGGTTAAAAAAGCTAATGAACACGAATGCGATCACGTGAATCATAAGGACTAGAAAAATTGCTGGAAGCATGGGTGGACCCGTTTTATTGTTATAATCAGTATAATGGAATTGTCAATATTTACTAAAGGAGCTGTACCGGGTGTATATACTAGTGAAATAAAATGAAATGGGGTTTAACGTCCTACTGTTTTGCTCCGAACTGGGCTTATGAAGACGGGCATACGCCATACAATGTGCTATGAGGGAAATTTTGCCCGGACAGCGGCACTACAGCCTACTCTTATATCGAATTCCAACTGTCAAGGGATCTTTTACGTGCACGCCAATGTGTACACGGGGCATTGTTTTTTCACTGACAAGGGGGAACCACGCCGGAAAATCTGGGTGAACTTTCTCGGCCAGTGCAGGGATCGAACACCCGACCTCAAGGCTAGCGAGCCTTAGCTACCGTGACCCCCGTATATACTAGTGAATCAAACGGATTATATTCTGTGTGTAAGACTCCTCCAACTGTTTCAAATTCCATGCTATTCTCAAGTCCAACCTCGTGGGTTTTCTCCAGGCTATCCAGTGCCAGGATATCCATGTCTTCTTATTTATTTACATGGCGTTATATTGCTCGTTGCGATTACCAAGTAACTCATACAACTGACCAGTGGCGTTCTTTAAATAATTTACGTAACCCACAAATCTAGCAGTAACTTCCGAGCAACCTATTATTTTGAACTGAATATTTCTAATTAATTCAACTTTTATCAATTGGTACCCCGTGACACCAGGGACTTCCCCTTTAATATTGGTAACTCTATTGCGCTACCTATTGATAAGCTCGACTTATTCATTAGTTTAGGGATAGACAGCAATGTTTCTTCAGTCAAATTATTGATTAGGTGATGTGGTTTTATTGATTGATTTCACCTTATGGTGTATCTTTTCTACCTTACTATTTTATCTTTATACGATAATTATCTACATCGGTCATTTTAATCATCAACGTGTGGCCTTTAATCTTATTGACTTTTGATTAACCGAAAGCGTTAGCTTAGCACTTGTATCATGAAATTTGTTAAGCCGGACAAGAGCTTTTGGATGTAAATAGAATCTCCCCCAGGAAAAGTCTCAGTATGTTAAATTAAACTCCGAGC